CGAGTCAAACGGAGCTATACAGAGTGCAGATGCGTGAGCGACGCCAAAGAGCTGGGGAATTTCTTCCGGAGTTAAGACAGGCCATTCGCAGACTTGCCAACTTAGCCTACCCCGCTGTGTCAGCTGAGATTCGGGAAACGCTGTCTAAAGGCCAATTTGTGGACGCATTGGTCGACTCGGAAATGCGCATTCGCATTAAACATGCACGTCCCAAACATCTTAATGACGCTATACAATTGGCTGTTGAATTAGAAGCTTACAACAGATCTGAGAAAAAGAGCTAAGCGCGCCAAACTACCGTTGAATCCGTGGAAGGAAGAGCTGTCCCAATGATTAAGGATAAGCGCAAAGTTTGAATCTATGCAGAGAGAGCTCAAAGAAATGAAGGCTCAATGCAGTGAAAGTTCACAGCGATAACGACCAAAGGAAGCAAACCAAACATTGGGGACACAGAAAATATGCTACTTTTGTCGTAAACCAGGACACATGCGCAAGGACTACAGAGCTTTTTAGGCGCAAAAGAAGGCGAAATACCCGTTCAAGTCCTGTACTACAGAACGCCAGAAATCATGGTGCGAGAAACAAAGACATCAAGTCTTCTAGTATAGAGAACACCAAACACACAACGAACAAACGTATCTCGAAGATATTGTGACCGTGTAGATTTGGACGGTACTAAGATTTCGTCTGGAACTGCATCCGTTGTTAGCAAAACGAACGGGGTAAGGGACTGTTGGCGTAGAGGGTACGAGGTATAAGGTAGAGGCGCTGTGTGGCCGTAAGGTAAAAACGAAGTATAGGTGTGCCGTATTCCCGAAGGTCCACCAATATACAATTCCAGAGATAAACAAATGATGAAGGATTCCGTATTTATTAGATGTGTCTCAACGATGGCAACACTTTATATAAATCAACAACAGACATATTAAAATGATCGAGTCGGATATGGCAGAAGTGGCCCCGGACTCAGAGTCCTAACGAGTCGGACGTGGCCGAGGCTGGCCTCCGTTTATTCCAGACTGAAGATTGAAATTATACATGACTATTTATAAGAATGTACATATTGAGTAAATAAATGACAGGTGTTGACATTAAGTGAAATGAGTGAAAGGTTCACAGGTATAGAGTAATTAAATATACTTATGACTCTTTGATGTTTGGACATGAAAACAGATAATTACACAATGTTGTTATAAGAGATTAACATGAGACATAGCACTCTGTCTCTGTAATTATAACATATCAAGAGTCCAGAAAGTGTCACTGGTCAATTAAACAATTAGATTAGTGAAGCACATTATGAGAAGTAACATATGATAAAAATTACAAATTATAAAAGGTTAAGTCCTAAATAAAGTTTCTTTGGTTTTCTTGAACAGTGAATTTTTCACTGTGATAATATTAAAGCGACAATAGGGCTGCAAATCGTGTGCTTTTTCATTCGAATTTACCCAATCTATCATTCGGGAATAAGGTAAAAAGTCGAAGTAAGCATTTGAGAAAAATAAATATTCTCTCCTCGTGTAAAATATTTAAATAATTTTAAAATCTGCCGGAAAATGAAGGGTCGTACAACTTAGTTCTGTTTATTTGTACCACGTGAATTCTAAAATGGCACGTGCATACAATGTAGGGTTTACAATTATAATGGAATATTAAGTAAAAGCAATTCTGAGAATCAAATCAAAATATCTTAACTCTCCGGTTTATTAATGATTGTTTAATTTTACATGATTAAGTACAAATGTTGACGTTTTGTGTATTGGGGTGCAGGAAAGGAAAATCCACCAAATCATACGTCATCGCGGCGAAATGTCAAACAAAATATCTTTCTGCAGTTCCAATGCAGTTTGCTTTTCAAATGGCAATAATTTTTATATGTCATAAGTGCATTTTTACGTTGAGTTTACACTGATTTTTTTTTCTTTGAAAGCCATGGAGATACGAGAAATGATAGCATGTATATATCAACAAACCTGTAGGTAGAACCTTCGCGAGCCCCACGTGAATGTCGCGGAGATCCCGTTTCTTCTTCATCCAATGATTATATTAATCTTCCAACTAAATTTTTGTCAGGAAAGTTGCTTTTTAATTTCAAGCCCTATTTTTGATTTTGTTTTTCGTTTTGGTCGACTTTGTCAATGTAGCAGGCCTACCGGGCTTCCCTCTCTTACCATGCTGTTTTGTTTATGAAAACTATACGCATGCGTGAATAGCATGGAATGTGGAACCTCGAAAACGTTGCGATGTATTTATTTACGGGCCATAAATAATTATTAATTTTAATGAAATAATTAAAATTATTTACTTATGAAATTTGTAATTTTCTGAACGTGTATACATTTATGAGCATGAAAAAAATTCCAAATCCTATAGGAAAATTTTAACAAGTCCGTTTTTGAAGAGATGCGCCGTATTGTCACTTTAACCGTATTACTAGTTTATATAAAACTTTATAAATATATACCATCACTCGCTTTATATTTATTTTGTAATTAACTAATTATCAAAGGCGGTTCCAGCACCGCCACACCGGGCGTGCCCCCCTCCTCCCGTTTGATTAAAAAAAAAATGTTTGTATTATCTTAAAATCAACAGGGAAAAACACCTCTAATTCGTTAAATTCCTCAGTTTCCGGGGGCTTTGCCCCTAGACCCCCACCAGGGCTTGACCTGGACCCGCTGGGGTACTAACCGAGACCTAAGGTCGAGGCCCTTTGAGTTCTGGATACTGAGTGGTGAGACAATTGATTCATTTCTAGAATTAATAAATAGACTTTTCGTATACGTTGAGTTGCATGGAAACATGAGGAATTGGCATTAAATGAATTTAGAAAATGGAGTTTTTGGCTTATTGGCTTCAGAAATTCGCTGGCAAACAACAGCAGAATGGTTATCGATGAGTGGTTACTGGGACAACATGCAAAACGTAGTGGGTGCCATAGATGGAACATCACATGAGATTTATATCCCACAAACGGAGCCTCAGTAGGATCTTTATAGTGGACACAGAAAATTTCACTGTATCAATACATTTAAAATCAACTGTTTCCTTTATCAAAAATGAACATTCGTAAATTACAATTCAAATTTATATGTATACATGTATCTATGTACATAATATTACATGTAATACAAAATAAAAACATCCTGTGTAAATTTTTATTTTTCTATACGTGTGTTTCGTCCATACGTTTCATCAGTTACACTACGAAAACCGAATAGGGGCACATAAAAAATATTTTTATCTCGTTATTACGAGAAAAGATCTCGTTATGACGAGTTAATTATCTCGTAATTACGAGAAAAGATCTCGTTATTACGAGTTAATGATCTCGTTATTACGAGAAAAGATCTCGTAATAACGAGAAAAGATCTCGTTATTACGAGTTAATTATCTCGTTATAACGAGAAAAGATCTCGTTATTACGAGTTAATTATCTCGTAATTACGAGTTAATTATCTCGTTATAACGAGAAAAGATCTCGTAATTACGAGAAAAGATCTCGTTATTACGAGTTAATTATCTCGTAATTACGAGTTAATTATCTCGTTATAACGAGAAAAGATCCAAGATAATGGCATAAATATATATATTTATAATCATCTCATAATTACGAGATCTTTTCTCGTTTTAACGAGACAATTAACTCGTAATAACGAGATCTTTTCTCGTAATTACGAGATAATTAACTCGTTATAACGAGATCTTTTCTCGTTATTACGAGATATTTTCTCGTAATAACGAGATAATTAACTCGTTATAACGAGATTTTTTCTCGTTATTACGAGATCTTTTCTCGTAATAACGAGATAATTAACTCGTAATAACGAGATCTTTTCTCGTAATTACGAGATAAAATTTTTTTTTTATATGGCCCTATTCGTCTTTAACTCGTAATAACAAGATCTTTTCTCGTAATTACGAGATCTTTTTTCGTAATAACGAGATAATTATCTCGTAATTACGAGGAAAGATCTCGTAATTACGAGATAAAAATATTTTTTATGTGGCCCTATTCGTTTTTCGTAGTTACACAGGTAATCACAAGGTAAACAAGTTTACCGTTCGTAAAACACATATTCGTTCGTTACGTGTTTGGTGTTCTCTAGTAGGAGTTTCAAAACTTGTGAGAAAGCTTCCATAGAAGCAGGTCCAGTCGGAATGGATGCTGGCTTATTCATTTAAATGAACGTCTATGGTGTGAAGGCGAAGCTATTGGTAGACACAGTCGCGACATACAGGATGCTGGTTGCAACTGTCTCCTGTTAAGAGGTTAGGGAAACTTTCCTTGCAAACTGGATGGTGTCGTTGCACCAATGAGCAATGATTGAATTATGGGCCTTGATTTTCTTGAAGAAAATGGATGCGCAATTGCTGTGGCATAGAAAAAAATGTACACCAAGGGAAAACAATAAAACCTGAAAAAAGAAGGAAGTTTCTGGGCTATGAGTCTGCTATGATTTTATAGTGATTCTGGCATGTGCCATTAACTTAGAAAACAAAGGAACATGAGTTTGAAATGATTCCTTAACGTGAAAAAAGTTTGTGATTTTGATATGGTTTGTTAACTTTGTCTTTAAACTCTATACGAGTTACACATGATCTGTTAACTTCTCTGTTGAGAATCATGAGTTTTATATGATTTGTTAACTTTTTCAGAATTGGTTGGATGATCCTGATATGGTTTGTTAACTTTGTCATCTTTGATAGGTGAAAATGCAAGCTTCAGATTCACTCTAGCTTGGAGAATCAAACAACATGCATACATCAATAATATCCATATTTAAAAGAGAACAGGAAAATTAAGTTTTAATAATTATAAGGCATACAGAATGTACAGGTAGGTACAAAGACAATATTTTTTTTTAAGTTGAATGAAATAACAAATAAATAAATTCAATAACTTGTAAATAAATTAGCACACAAGTATATACTGTTCAAATAACGCAGCCAGGATTTTTAAAAAAAATCTTTCTCTTCATATAATATTTGCGATCCACTCCCAATCTAACTCTGAGGCATTAGATTAGGATTTGCTCACTGGTCAGTTTCAGAGTCATAGTAACCTTGTTATGCAATTCTCCTGCTGTTCAGCACGTTGTTTGCAGCTTATCTAGGTCAACATTTGAATTCTGATAAACAAGATGTGCGCGTTTTCTTGTTGCCGATTTAAAAGAAAAGACTTTGCATCATATAAGCAACAAAAATAAGTGCTGGACTATTAACTCTACTCGGTGAGTATAATTCATTAATTTTATTATTAATCTTTTTAAGATTTCTAGCTTCTACCAGAATGTGATTTAATTTTTCTTTGCATATGCATGTGTAGAAGAGACACGATCACGAAAGCTTTACATCGATGGATTTGAATTGAAAACTTAATTTAAGCTTCAGATTTACCTCCTTCATTCAAATAATTGTTGTACATGTGTAATGTTAATCATTCTATAAAATGTTTATTTTAAAAAAATGAAATTCTTTTGCAGCTACTGTCAGGTCCATCTTCATTATCAACATCTGAGTTAAAATTTCATTCAAAATGCCACATTCGAAAGACCCGCCTTTGGTGAAGACAAAATTTGTGTACGTAAATAATATTGCTTTTCAACAATATTATTCTTGTGGTTATTAATTTAAGGGGCAATATCCCTCTGCTCCAAATTTCACGACTTTTTTTTAAAAATCCAGACATTGATTTTCAGCAACAACTATAGCATTAAATTCAAATGGAAAATAGTTTGAAGTATGAAGCGTTGCTTACTTTTTCAGAAATGAATAATATGTCAAATCATGATGTGAAGAAAATTTGAGATGGTAAATAGAAAGATTAATTATTTTTTTTTTATCTCACAATTAAATTAGAAATATGAGGTATATATAAAAATAAAATTTACTCTCATACCTATCTAATTCCCATCAGAAAATATAATGAAGCGCTGCTTTTTAAATCACAATTCAAATTGTTTTCTGTGCATGTAAAATAACACGCATCCATAAACAAGAGTTATCGTTCCATTATCGCCCTTGAAAATATTTTTTTAATGAAACAAAATATTGATTAAATGTTTATAAACAATATTGCATCTGAAATTTCTGTACAATTAAAAGAATTATACTTTAAGAGATAGAAATTTCTCAATTTACACTGTTTAAAGGAACTGAGTATAAATGTTTTAAGTAAATTATTATAAATCATTAATGTACATACTAGCAATAGAAACTATAAATCAACATTTGTACCATAGATTAAGTTTGATTGTGTTGACTAGAAAATGGTTCTTTGAAAACTCTGACATGACAATTCACTGAATTTCATGACAAAATGTCTGAAGAAAGTTATCTCTCTTATCAGAAGAGTTATCTCTCTTATCAGAGGGATATTCCACCTTAATTCTTTTAATTAATGAACATGATGAAATGTGGAAAGTACTTGAATATTTCATATTTTCATAATCTAAAGATAATTATATGTTGATCGATGAATAAACACAATTTTCTCTACGTTTTTTTCAGGGTGCTACACAAATAAAGAGCTTAATTATATCAGAGGATAGACTTCTTAAATGGGAGCCTTTTCAGTGTTTGTGTGTTTCAGTAATGGATCCACCACGCTGCTGATTCTATAGTGAACAAATGTTGGAATTACATGCTTTTGCAGAATCATAAATAAGCAGTGACATCAATGAATGCCGAATCATTCCTCAAGAAGAAAGGATTTCTGTGATTCTGTTCCTATAAAATTCTGTGAATTCTGATGTTTTATTTATAAATTGTCATCTGAATAATGAAGATCATTGTTCGGATTATACCAGGATCATGATTTTGATACGAGTTGTAAGCAATAAAAGATCATACTAGGATCATGGTTTTAATACTAGTTGTTAGCTACAATAGATCATACCAGGATCATGGTTTTAATACGAGTTGTTAACTACAATAGATCATACCAGGATCATGGTTTTAATACTAGTAGTTAGCTACAATAGATCATACCAGGATCATGGTTTTAATACGAGTTGTTAGCTACAATAGATCATACCAGGATCATGGTTTTAATACGAATTGTTAGCTACAACAGATCATACCAGGATCATGGTTTTCTTGCTAGTTGTTTAGTTTAACAGATCATCTAAGAACCATGATCCATTAGCTCATTTGCATGTGAAATTTTCCTATACCGAAATCATATCAAAACAATGATTTACACACGAGTCATTAGCATGATCCCTTAGGCTGTTTTTTCTGTTTGGGGCTGAACAATGTAACACTTCCAACAAATCAAGAGGTAATCATAAAGGGGAGAGTGTGTGCGCCGGAGGGCAAAAGCATTCGATAGTTCATGGTTTGGTGGAACCAAATGAAAAGTTCACGTCGACAGGACTCTCGTAGGGAGGACCTGAGTTAAAGCAGATTGAGGTGTACCAATTCGAATGCTGAACATAGGACCAGAAAGTAAAACCATTTACAGTGGCACTTGCATTGCGGAAATGTCATTCGTCTGCGCAGTACAGGCAGAGAGAAATAAGTCAAAGAATTACTCTGCGTTGCATGAAAAACATGAAGATCTACTGAAGCTCAGTGGTACCGATCTGACAGAGGACCAGATATCTAAAGTGCGAGACTTTTTGCGACAATATTCCCATGCGTTTGCACTTAGTAGCTCTGAGTTAGGTACGGCCAACGTGGTTGAGCATGCAATTGATGTTGGCAACGCTCATCCCATAAAGGAACCTTTGTGACGTGTCCCGTTCCATGCTGCAGAGAAAATAGACAAGCATGTAAATGATATGCTGGAAGAAGGAGTTCTAGAGCGCTCCTCTAGTCCATGGAACCGTTCACGGTAGCTCAGTCGGTAGAGCGCTCGCTTCGTGATAGGGAGGTCGTGAGTTCGTATCTCGGCCGCGACCTATGTCGATAAAAAAATGGATAGCAGCTTTTCCTTCGCCATGCGCTAGGCACTTGAAGTTTCGGGGCCTTCGAATGAGACCTTAAAAACTGAGGTTCCGGGTGAACGCAGGCGTTGGCACGAGAAAGATCCCTCACTGCTCAATGGCCCTGAGTGCCGAGTAAACAATTCAAAGCCCTTCACCGGCATACGGTGAAGTCTCTATTTGAGTGAAAAATTCTCGAGTGGTACATTAAACAACATAAAATCAATCAATCAATCTTGTCCATGCGCTGCAGGTGTAGTTTAAGTGCAAAAAAGGACAGCAGTACTCGTTTCTGTGTTGACTACCGGAAATTGAGTGGACTGACCATAAAAGACGCCCACCCATTGCCGCGAATTTATGGGCAAGTTATTGGGCAAAATCGACAAATATCGGCATTGGGTTCGAAGGTACCTAGTTCATAAAGAAAAGAAGAATATAAAAATAGTTAATACATATTTTTATCATAGCATCAAAGGCATCAAAGACAATAAATAAATTTTAATAAATATATGAAATGTCTTGTAAAGTGGTGATTTCAAGTCCCCATATTTTATTTGTCTTTAAATTACAAATCTTGGCATATTAATTTAACACTTTATATGGTTCACAATTTGAGTAATTTGATCGTATGTATTGTATATTCTTTTACGTGATGTTCTAAAATTGGATTCACGACTTTTCATGTCATCTCATGCAAAGTGAAAGTAGAACGAGTACATGGAATACATGCATATCCTTTCGTATTTAACGATGTCCTTTTTGAAATAACTGTATAAATGCTGTTAAAAGAGTATAAACTACTAGATGTTTTGATTAAAAGAGTATATAAGGGAAGATTCTTCCGTAAATCGGGGATGTTGCAACCACTATTGAAATAATTATATCAATAGTGGTTGAGAGTGCATTTCAATAGCAAACATAGTTAGTAACCACTATTGAAATACGCCCACTATTGAAATAACTATTTCAATAGTGGTTGTATTTCAATAGTGGTTACTACCCATGTTTGCTGTTGAAACGAACTCTCAACCACTATTGATATAATTATTTCAATAGTGGTCGTATTTCAATAGTGGTTATTAACTATGTTTGTTATTGAAATGCAATCTCAACCACTATTGATATAATTATTTCAATAGTGGTCGTATTTCAATAGTGGTTACTAACTATGTTTGTTATTGAAATGCACTCTCAACCACTATTGATATAATTATTTCAATATTGGTCATTATTTCTATAGTGGTTGCAATCAGGACAAAAACAAGCCTCGGATCTATCGATCCGGGCGCATAAATATTTCGCAAAATTGTTTTCAGAGTGATCCTTTCTTTATATTGAGTCAATATAATACTAATTCCAAAGTTTTAAATTGACCACAATATTTTATGAAGCTTGTATAGCACCATGAAATTTCGGTTTAATTAAGTAACATTGTACTTGAGGGACATTCTAGTAATTCTGGAATTAATTGTTAGTCTCATCGCTGAATATATAGATGTAATTGTTTAAATATAAATCTGGGAAAACTCAACATAAATATATTATCGGGAATATATTCTAGCAAGATTATTATACATTAAGTAATATTATATAAACAATATGTGTTTGTGAAACACTATGCGCCCGGCGGCAACAAATTAAAAAAAAACATATTTTTAGAATAAAGGTCACAGTGAAGGTCACAAGGTCATTGATCTTGGTGTCATTTCAAAGATTTTGATTAGTGAAGCATGCATACCAAATATCGGATCTCTATCTTTCATGGTTCAAAAGTTATGGTGAAGGATAAAAAAGCTATTTTAGCATATACGACACAGTCAAGGTCACAAGGTCATTTACATTGGTGTCATGTGAAAGGGCTTCATTAGTGGAGTATGCATTTGCAACCACTATTGAAATAACGACCACTATTGAAATACTTATATCAATAGTGGTTGAGAGTGAATTTCAATAGCAAACATAGTTAGTAACCACTATTGAAATACGACCACCATTGAAATAATTATATCAATAGTGGTTGAGAATGCATTTCAAAAGCAAACAAAGTTAGTAACCACTATTGAAATACGACCACTATTGAAATAATTATATCAATAGTGGTTGAGAGTGCATTTCAAAAGCAAACATAGTTAGTAACCACTTTTGAAATACGACCACTATTGAAAAAATTATATCAATAGTGGGTGAGACTGCATTTCAATATGGTAATCATAGGTTTCAACCACTATTGAAATACTACCAGAATGGAAAAAAAAAGTTTCACCGCGTCAGTAACTTCTAAAATAATTATTTCAATATATATTGGATTCATTTTTCAAAGCACCATTGAAATCAATAATCTAATCCATATTGATATCTTTATTTCAAAAGTGAACAATATTTCAATAGTGGTTGCAACTTATGTTTGTTGTTGAAATGAAGCTCACCAACTATTTAAATACGTTTTTCAATTGTAGTCGTATTTCAATAGTGGTTACTATCTATGTTTATAGTTGAAATGCACTCTCACCCACTATTGAAATAATTATTTCAATAGTGGTCGTATTTCAATAGTGGATATTACCTATGTTTGTTATTGAAATGCACTTTCAACCACTATTGATATAATTATTTCAATAGTGGTTGTATTTCAATAGTGGTTATTACCTATGTTTGTTATTGAAATGCAATCTCAACCACTATTGATATAATTATTTCAATAGTGGTTGTATTTCAATAGTGGTTACTAACTATGTTTGCTATTGAAATGCACTCTCAACCGCTATTGATATAATTATTTCAATAGTGGTCGTTATTTCAATAGTGGTTGCAACAATGCATGCTTATAATATTAAGTCTCTATCTTTCTTCGTTCGAAAGTTATGGCGAAGGTTAAAGTTTGCCATCAAAAAAGCTATATTAAGCGTATAGGCCACAGTCAAGGTCACAAGGTCATTGACCATAATGTCTTTTTTAAAAGCTTAATAAGTGCTGTATGTGTAGCAAATATAAAGTCTCTATCTTTTATGGTTCAAAACTTATGGCAAAAGTTAAAGTTTGCAGAAAAACCCCTCTATTTTTAACATATAGGTCACAGTCAGGGTCACAAGGTCATTGACCTTGGTGTCATTCGAAAAAACTTTATTAGTGGAGTAGGCAAACCAAATATGAAGTCTCTTATCATTCATGGTTCAAAAGTTATGGCGAAGATTAAAGTTTGCAGACAAACAGAGACAGACAGACAGGATTGATTGATTGATTGATTGTATACTGTTTAACGTCACTCTCCAGAATATTTCACTGATATGGAGACGTCACCATTGCCGGTGAAGGGCTGCAAATTTAGGCCTATGCTTGGCACTTACGGCCTTTGGGCAGGGAGGGATCTTTATGGTGCCACACCTACTGTGACACGGGGCCTCGGTTTATACGGTCTCATCCGAAGGACCGCCCCATTTAGTCGCCTTTTACAACAAGCAAGGGGTACTGAGGACCTATTCTAACCCGGATCCCCACGGGACAGACAGGACAAAAACAATATAAACCTCGGATCTTTCGATTCGGGCGCATAAAAAAACTAAACTCGAAAATAACATAAATATTAAAGTAGCGAATGTGCATCGGAAAGAGAAGATCTCAGTTTTGACGTGCTGTTGTTAAATAAAAAAGTAAGATTTTGTATTCCCGCCTGTGCTAGTTTATATTGTTCTGTTTGTGTCTTCTGTTGTTGATGGAGTAAAGATCCTAGCACCGAAATATTATTTTGAACATCCAAA